CCGATGCGGGGCTCGATCCCAGGACCCCAGGACCCCAGGATCATGACCTGAGCTGAAGGCAGACGCTTAACTGACCGAGCCACCCAGGCGCCCCTACTTTGATATTTATTGAAACATCAAATGGATTCTTTTGCTTTCTGAGACATGAACGTGATGACTGCACCAAGAACCACATGACATGCAAGGATTTTTCTTATTTGTGCTGTACTCTGAACACCAAATACATTCAGCCATAACTGTATCTTCTTGAGAGACAGATTTCAATCTCATATGTTACCGGATGGAATCTACAAATTAAAACTTTTTTGTTGTAATAAACAGCAATGAAGTTACATAGATATTCAGGTAAAGATTTTTTTTCTAATAAAAAAAGATGCAATCAATGATTCTAAAATGACAGCAACTTTTGTTTAACCTGATGTGAAGGAAAAAAATACATGCAAAGAAGTTGTTTGTCCAAAACAAAACAAAGCAAAATAAAGAAAACTCCTAACTCGCTGCACCACCCCCGGCCAAAAAAAGAAAAAGAAAAAACCCAAAAAACCCCTAAAACACCCCATACTGGCTTAAGAACAACCTATGTGGTATAAAATCGTCATCACTGAAAAGCTGCTGGCAAGACCAGTATGACTCCAAAACCTTGTTGTTACCCAGCATGTACAATCACATACTACAGCATCAAGTATCCTCACCCAAATCCTGAAGTTACACATGAACCTCCTTTTGTGGGATGCCTTCCTTACTTCAGTACATGTACAGCCCATCCCTGGTAGGGGAACCAAACATTATTTAGATAGAAATTTAGAGCTAAATCTGCTAGCCTACTTAAGCTGGTGGTTGGGAACCTTTCAATAGGGAGTAGTTGTTCCTCTCCTAGAGATTATGGTTTTAGTCAGTTAAACTGTCTAAGGAAAGGGTCCATAACACATGTGCACACAAGCGTTGTGTGCATGTACACACACACACACACACACACACACTCCTTCTGCTACCCAGTTGTGCTGCTACCTGAGAACCCAGGATGGCAGCACGGCCTTCACAGGATGCACTCTGATGAACACGGAGAGCATCATGTAGCTGGAAATAAACCCAAACTCAGCACAGATATGTGAGTTTTCACCAGGTTTCTAGAAAAAGCTGCTACACATTTAGGCTGTAGCTGAGTATTCCTAAAATCACAATCTTAACTGGCATATTCAGGGAAATTCTGTCAAAGTACAGAAAGATGGGTCTGGTAATGCCTCCTCACTGTAGCCAGAGTTTCCTGCCCTCAGCTGTCTCTTCTATTTCTTCTCTCACAGACATGTGGCTATTTAGCTAGGTATGTAACAAAGGTGACCACTCTACTTCAAAATGCTTAGAAAATACTTTCACTTTGAAGAACACAAAATCTCTGTGAACTACACAGGGAGAAAGGGCCCCTTGGGTGAGGGCAATGGTGCGGGTCTTTATAGAGATCACCTCAAGTAGCAAGGGTATAGAGCACAAAAGTAGTAATACCAAACAAGGCAGGCTCTGGTTGTTTAAAATCCACAGGAGCAAGACAAACTATACTGAGTGGGGGTGATTACCTGAGAGCTATTCTAATTCATGCCTTATAAATAGGAGTCAAAAGGAGTACCTTCAGAACAGCAAAATGGAAGAAAGAACCAAGATGAAAGCATGGTTGACCTTTCTGCTCTTCTTTTTGATACTAAACACCCAAGGGGCCTTGTTTACTATCTGAGGTAGGAAGTACTTAGTATTTCTTTGCTGCCCAGAGATACCATGATTTGGTGGCTCAGACCCCCTGCCTGAGATGTATGATCCCAGGGGCCAAATATATCTTCATATATTCCTTTAGTCCACAGAGGATTATTAAGAGCCCACTGTAGGTGGGGCTTTTGTAGATACTCCTGATGACAATAATAGCAAGTATTTACTATGTGCTAGCATCCTTCGAAGGGCTTCACAGGTTACTAATTGACTTGATGCTCACCATAACCCATGAGGCTGGGCCTGTTCTCATCTGCATTTTATATTAGGCACCAAGAGGTTAAATATCTGGCTCAAGATCACATAGTTAGTAGCCTGAGTCAGGATGCGAACACAGGCAGGATGGCCCCAGAGCCCATGCTCTGGCCAGTCAGGCACGGTGACCATGACAGGGGAGATCCCTCACCTCACAGAGGAGGATAAAACAGACAAGGCAATACGTGATGTTATTTTCTGGACTGATAAATGCTGTAAAGCAAACCAAAGCAGGGTATGGGACAGAGTGACAAGAGGAAGGCTATTTTAGACAGTGTGGTCAGGACAGCCCTCTGCGGGGAGGTGAAATTGGAATAAAAGTCTGAGGGGAAAAAGGGAATTGAGCAACGGGAAGGTCTGGGGAGAGAGTATTCCAGGCAGAGGGTACAAAGCCTCCATGATGGAAACAAGCTGGGGGTATATCAGGGACATCAAGAAGGCATCTGAAAGTGTGAGGGAGCCATGAGCAATGGACAGCCTTTGAGGACTTCTTAAGGATTTCAGATTTTATTGCCATGGTGCTATGAAGCCTTTGGAGGGTTCTGAGCAGGGGTAAAACTTGCTCTAATTTTCCTTTTAAGAAAAGATCACTCTGGCAGTATGTGGAGAATAGATCATGCAGGCAGGGGAAATCAGGGAGGCATGTTAGAAGGCTATGGGAGCAGCCAGTGAGAAGAAAATAGAGACACTGCTTTATTTCAGGCCTTCAGGCCAAGGTCAGCTCATGCCAGTGTAGAGCAAGGCAGCTTGAGGAGTCCCTAACATCTCATAAGCTAACTAGGGTAAGTGTGACACCTGGATTCAGGAAGTCTTAACAAGAAAGGGAAGTGAGCAGGAACTGCCCAGGTGTTGACCTGTAATTGGCTGAGTTCTCTGATGGAATGGGAATGTTTTCATTTGTCAGAACCTTTCTTTTTTTTTTTTTTTTT